CTCCCCCTTTTTTTCTGCAACCAAATCTAGACCAACACATGAAAACCATGAAAGCAACTGGTAACTCAGTTTGCAATTCGGTGGTTTAGACTTCTTCTGCCAAAGTGTTTCCCATGTATAGCGCTTACTTGGAGGAAAGGTTTGGTATCTCAATGCATGTGCAATCATTCATTTAAGGAAATCCCAAAGAGCTGATTCAGTTCTGTTCGTGTGGACATAGCTATGCCCACATGAACAGAATTACCTTTTATGGTATGTTTAGTAGGTTATTTATTTTTTCTTAGTAAGTCTGAAAAAAATGACACCTTCTGATGCTAATTTACCAGTGATTCATCCCTTCACTCTTACTTTGAAAGTTCAGTCATTGCTAACAAGCTGGCCCCACCCTTCCCGAATTTAGCTTCACGTACTTGCTACCTTCCTGTCTAGGTTACCATTGTGGTCATGCTCGATATCATTTAACCACTTCCCCAGTGAGATCTTATCACAGAGATGGATACAATCCACCTACATCATCATGAATTACAGCTTGAAACAGCAGTCCTTCTGCTCAAGACACCTGCTCTGAGCTACAGGAAGCGTGCAGAGTGGTGGGATGGTACTCCCTACTGAAATGTGACTGGCCCTTCCTGATGCCCACCCACCAGAGCCACTGGTTTGAAGTACTGTTAATATTGTTTTGGCCGACAGCCTAGACAGGACCAGTGGAGGAGTGTATTGATATATTAGTATAAATAAAATCTTCTAATATTTAAGTATAATTAAGATTTTATGATCAAATATTCCAATTTTGGGACTTTGTTTTGATTCCCCTGCGTCGTCATCATCACCATCTTCTAGCTGCCTCTTACGAACTAAGTGGAAACTACTCTTAACCCTACACCACAGCCTTCCACACCATTCAAAGTCATTGCAGGCTGCGTTTACTCAAAGTGTAGTTACACTTCCTGGGAGGTGCATATCAGGTTATGGCATAGGGTTAAAAGGATTCTCTGGTTATGTCGTAGATTTCCAGCTGAAACACAGTTCAGGCATTACCCCATCCCTAGCATCCTAACCTTGTGAGAAACACTAAGATTAATTGATGATCAGAATAAAGTTATGAAAGTAAAAAGAAAAAGAATTAATCTCAACAAAGAAAAAACTCTTACTGTCCGTGGGTCGAAGGTGAACAAAGCTCTGAAAACCTTGACTTGGCCTAGTGAAGACAAAAACAGACTAGATGTTAGACACAATATGTGTGCGCACTCTGTGACAAACAAAAGTGAGGTGAAACCACTCCTGGTTAAGCCCCGCAGAACACCCAGCTAGTTTCAGTCCGGTGAGTATACAGGTGAGTGCGTGCAGAAGGCAGCTTCTAATGTGGTAAACTACTCTCTTTTCTCAAGTGCACAAATCAAAGGTGAGACATTATCTATTATGTAAACAAAAAGACATTTCAACACGTACAACAGGCATAAAAAACAGCATCAACAGTGTGAGTGGTTGTTGTGTGTAGCTGCACTCGGGGCCACTGGTAGCTCAAACTTGAGGTTGAGCTCTGCTGCTGAGTTGCTACTATGCTGTGGCTTTAGTCGACTGCTAAACTACATCAAAAGCTTGAACAGCCATGGTCAAGCTTTCAAAACGTATTTAAATACTTGATATAAACATTTTATATTTCAACTAACTGCCCGTTTCTGGGCATTAACGTAAGGTTACATATAGTCTGCTGTGTTGTTTACAACATAGACACAAAGTTTACTAAACAGACTACTGAGCTGGTTACACTCGACCTTATAGCGACCCTGTTTTGGTTAACAAAACCAGGATAAATATGCTCTCCTGCAAAGTTAAAGAATTTCCTGTGATTTGCATCGACTGGTAGATAAGTGTAATTTGGACTTCCTTTTAAAATTTTGACACACCCGTTTTTTGTTTTAAATTGGAGACAGACATTAATAATATGCTTTAAATAATAAACCCAGTGAAAAAAATATGCGTCCGCCCCACTATTGGTGCATATCTGATATCTTCAATCATGCCTTTATTTGGTTATTTTATCAATCCTTTCAGCTTGAACTTGAAAGATTATCACAGTGTCAACTGTCTAACAGTTATATGTTAAAGGTGTTCACCACAACTAAACACAAGGTGACTGATTCACCGTCTTACATTTAAATGCAAAGGCCAGTTAGAGTGCATCGTTCCTGATCTCTTTACTTCACAGGCCTAACCGCTGGACCCTGTAAATCCCCTCTGCCTGTGCTGTTACTCAGGATTTTTGTTTAGTGAACACACTGCCTCGGTGTCTCAGATTGACGGGGGCTGAGCTGCCGCACAAGTCCAGCTCTGTTCAAACACAGTAAGCACGTCTGCTTTGCAGACCCATACTGAGGGCCTGTGCTGACTCAATTAAATTCTTGCTACATTTTAAACCCTGGGCACACAATAAGATAAAAAGAAATCTAACGAATAAACAAAGAAGAAAATTTGTGCCTTAACATGAGCAAAGCAATGACAGTATATATTTCATCTATTACTGTGTGAGCTTTTTAATGAATTCCAGTTATGTGGGGTTTTTTGTACATTTTACTTTATTGCAGCAGCTCTTCTGAAAAAGCATGTCTGGTCATGGTGGTTATGTGATCCCTCAGTCATGTTCAGTGCTCAGTTTAACAACGTAATCTAAAGTTCTAATCTGCTAAACCAGAGTTTGCACAGGGCTGCCTCTGTTAAACTGCACATACCTTAAAAACAGAATCATAACCTTCTTGCAAAAATGTGGCTAAGTGGGTGCAAAAAACAACCAACTAAAAAAAACAAAAGAAAACATGCTAGCTCTTGTTCAAGCTGAATGCATACCTTGGGGTGCTATTTGGTCACGCATGGCTACAAACACTTGCCAATGTTTTTTTTTTTTCCTCCAAAGCCAATTCATGCACAGACACTGAGCACATCCACCGAACACATCCACCAAAGGGAAAGTTACAGAAAACCAATCCTGAATCTGGATAAAATAGCTTTAGCAGGATGGATCATTTACTCCTGCACGAGCCCCACCGGCCTGCCACCTGTCACCGACAGGTGATCTCACCTACAGCCAGGTGAGGCATCGTGACTGATTCGTCAAGGACTGTGAGGAGCGCAAAAGATTGTGTTTCATGCGGGTAAAGAGATGCGCCTGTGTTTGCTGTGTCAGCATGTTTGTAGACATAAACCACCTTTAACTTCACACACGAGGAAGGTTATTTTATGCTTCTCTCCCCATCTGTGAGATGGAGATTTTTTTTCTCCAAACATCTGCATTTACCTGCGTCCACATTTAATTCATAAGATGAGAATAGTGTACTAGGTGCAATTAGCCAACACTACTGCAGAAACCATTGGCTAGAAGATGTAAAGAAATTGACTTTTTTTCTTTAGAAAGCTTTGATTTGACATTGTGGACATTTAAATGTCTTTCTGTACATCCCAAAGTTTTACAAATCATAAAAACATTAATAGTCACCCAATTTCAATATGGGTAGACCAGCGCAGTAGAGTGCAGCATGGGCACAAACGAAATGCCCAAAAATGATTACAACAATAAATCAAAAGGTGTTTTTATCACATTAAAGTACAATTTTCTGCCTCCCTCTCATCACGCTGCCTTAAAATTTCATCACAGGTGCACATATGCTGTACTTACAACCATGATGGATGAAATTTTACACTTTATTTAGTAAATAGAAATTCAAAAAACACTTGCCACAGCATTACGAGTTTATTGAGGGAGAAGTCACAGTTTCACTTTTAGCCTCAAACACATGCACCAGGAGATCTGTGTAATTGCTTTGAACAAAGGATACCTATTAAGCTACCTATCGCCTCTCCTTCCTACACAGGCTGCTTGTGTACACCTGTTGCACTGACACAGTGCGTAGGTAAATGCAAACGCTATGACGTGCTCTAACGTTGGTAAGTAAGGTTTGGGAAGAGGTTACCAGAATAATCCGAGCAAGGAGGAAGTAGAGCTGATGTCACTGACCACGCAGACTTATCACCTATTCACCCAAAGCTACTGACTCGCGGTGCTCTCTTTGCATGAGTGATGGAAATAGGGAAGTGACAGAGGCCTGCTGGTAAGAGCTGGATGGCCCCGTCAGTGTATTGAATGGCCAGAACGCGCTTTCAATAACTCCAACGCGGTCCTGGCAGGGCTAGCGATAAAGCGACACGGCTTCCAATTAAAGTTTAAGACCTGTCTTTCTATTAGCTAAACAAGGTTTCACAGACAAACAACAGAAATAAACCGAGCCCGTGGAGGAGTGTTGAGCGCCCGCCCATTAACTGTTTAACGCCAACAAGGTGCGTTGTCCTCGTATAAACACGTCACAAGTTTAGGTTAAGTTTAAACAACATGTCCTCGTAGTTTTGGTCTTACCTGGCTTGGCTGGTTTGGGAGGAGGCTTCGACATTTGTGAGGCTGGCGGATAAAGCGAAAAGAAACGCGCTGTGCTGTTTCAGTCACAATCGTCGCAAGACTGTCGAGTTCTCTGCTGTTAGCACGCTCAATGAGGAAGTTCGGCTCAGTACGCGGAAAAGTTATTCAGCGCATGCGCCAACCTGTGGCTCGCTCAATCGATTGCCTTTTGGATGTAATGCAGCGGTTTTTTTCAAGTTTTCAACATTTCACAACAAACAAATTATAGATTATATTATAGATTATAATGATAAACTATATATTAAGTATAAATATATTTACATTTTCTTAAAATTCATTTTTGTTTTTTTATTGTTATTTCATAACTGTACATGTTTAGATTTAAGTTGTAACACTTTCAAACATTTTTTTTGCAAATAAATATTTGAGTACGAACATATCAGTATAATAATGTAATAAATGACTAAAGAAGAGAAAACAACATGAATAAAAAACAAAACAAATGTTTTTTTCCCTCAATGGGCAGGTCGTGAGTGACGTGGAGGCTCCAACGGCAAATCGTAAGCGTCCAGAATAGCACGTGGGAGGACTGTCGCGTTCGCAGGACCAGCTACCAGCGTGGTGTATACATTTGCACGTGACTCCTTAATTACGTTAGTATTACTAGTTCTATAAATCGGTAGCTTTGCAGCGAGCAGACGCAGACAAGTGGAATGAAGACACTAATTGTAGGAATTGGTGGGTAAGTGATTAAACACACTAATAATTTTGAACCTTTTGCAAAACACCAATTTTACAGCCTACTTCTTTTTAGGTCATTTTGGGACATTTGAGGATATTTTCCATGCTCGAGTTTTATTTATTTATTTTAATTTTTAATGTGAAATCCTTTTTGGTAATTGCTCATATGAGTAGAAAGTACAGGCAGATAAGAAAGGCAACAAAATATATTAGTTTATTAAATGTTAAATTACTCATCAGTGCTGTTTAGCATACATGTATCACAGAGTGGCAGAGGGCACACGTGTTAGTAAGCCACTGCATATGGCAGTGATGTCAAAACACTGATAAGAGTTGTTTACTCTTTAGACATGTGAGCCCCAATCTCCCTGGGTTTTTTACTTAAATATAACTTAAATACAACAGATAATTGCATCGATTCTCCTAGTATTAATCTAATGTTATGTGTTTAATGATGATCAATGCAAACCTTGTCTGCAAATGCTTATTTTAAATATTCCAAAAAAAAGGTTTGCGAACCATGCTTTGAATATCTGCGTTCACAGTAGAAGGTGCAGTTTTAAGATAACCCTTCCTCAGAAAATGATACATAGGCTGATGGAAGGATGAAAGAAGGGGCACTGAACTTTGCACTGCCTGTTTATTACCAACAGCATGCAGGAATTCTTTACTTATCTGCATTTTAAAGTTTTCTAGTTAAACCTCAGACCACACCCAAAACTGCGGATGGGTGTAGTTTGATATGGGGCAAATGCTGGCTGTACCCCTAACTACATCTATTTTTAGGCTGATATACAAATAGCTGAGAGTGTTATAAAAACATGTCAACTGGTACTATTTTAACAACTTTTTTCAAAATAAAAAAAAAGTTCCTTAAAGAATTTAAACCATTTATTTTGCATTTGACAACACATTTTGCAGATAAATAGCCTGTATTTGTATAGTGCTTTACTAGTCCCTAAGGACCCCAAAGCACTTTACACAACCAGTCATCCACCCATTCACACAAAAAATAAACAGAACCAGCTAGGGCCTAACTGATGCTGATAGCACCATAATAATCAGTTATTCTTTTTTAATTTTACAATAAATAAAAATAATGAGCAACATTTGCAATGAGGATACCTTAACCCTTTAAAGTCTGTACCATGAAATAATTGCTAGATAATTAAAAATGTATTGTGCAATTTTTCTGACGTCTGCTGTAGCAGACGGTGTAGAGTGAAGAGAGTGTGGGCCCAAAAGCACACAATGGAGACGGAGCGAGGAGCTGAACAAAAAGTGAGCCTTTGTGTGGGGGCTGAACAAAACTACAAACAAAAGGCAGGAAGGGAAGTAACAAAACCTAAACTAGGAAAGCTAACCAATACATGGAACCTGGAAACACAGAGGGAGAAAAGACAAACCAGTGACAGACAGTGGAAGACAGAGGACTAAATACACAAAAGGGTAACGAGGGAATGAGGACCAGGAGGGAAATACAGCTGGGACTAATCACACCCAAGAGACCGGGAGGAAGCAAAACAGAATACACTAACACAAGATGAGGAACTATCAAAATAAAACAGGAAACATGAGACACAGACAGAGACTCGATGCTGGAACTGGGGAAGAACAGAAATGAGAACATAATTTGACGAGATGTGACACCTGGAACACATGAGGAGGCTCAGTAACAAAAGCCTAAGAACTAGAAGTCACAAATATACAACCAGAAACTAACCCAGGACCATGGCATTTATTTAGGTTTCTTGAGGGGGGAAAATCAGAATGATGTTGATGTAGAAGTCTCAAAAACTCACAAAAAACTTATGTATGAAATATAGTACACTAGGCACTAAGGGGTTAAATTTGTTTTTTAAATATTTGTGACCATGATATATATTGATTGGTGCATATTACAACTAGGAGTGATGGGAGTTACTGCTAGTTGGACATGGCTGCCCCTTCCTTATCCTGGTTCTGCTGGAGGTTGCTTCCTGTTAAAAGGGAGTTTTTCCTTGCCGCTGTCTCCAAGTGCTTCCTCGTCTGATTGTTTTCCTCTTTATTATTGCCAGTAGTTAATGCAATGCGGTATTAAGTAACGTGTTACAGTAACTACGTTATTATTGTGGTAACGAGCACGGTAACTAGTTTCTATGCCAAGATCAGGAATGCGTTAATCGTCACTGGGATTTAGATAGGGTCGTTATTCGTTATTTTGTGTGGTGGCTATGGCGGAGCTTCCACAGATTCAGTAACATTAGCAAGTGGTGGAGGCCAGCAGGTGGATGAGGGAAAGGGGAGGCAGGAGGAGAGACCCGAGGGGCCGCCGGTCCGAGTGTCAGGTGAACTGAACTTCAGGTAAGAAGTTATGACCTGCAGTCTATCTGGGTCAGATATAAACCAAGTTTAGGTGGAGTTTATTTTCGTTGTGCTGACTTTTTCGTACTGCGTGCTAGCTAGCATGACGGAGTTTCTATACAGCTGGGTGGGTGCTATGATGTTACTGATACTGAACTTTATTTTATTCATAAGGTTAGTTAGTAGAGTTGCCAACCGTCCAGTAAAAAACGGAATCGTCCGGTATTCAGAGAAAATATTACGCGTTTTGTATTGAGCTGAACAGGAACACAGTTTGTCCCGTACTTCAGCTAGAATGAAAAAGACACAAAGCTGGAGTTATTCTGTGTCTTTGCTGCACAGCTGCCTCTTCTTCTCTCATTCTCTCCCCTCCCTCTCCTGTTTCTACTTCAATCATGAAACTGATCAATGATCAGCTGATCGGCTCTCTTGTTTGTTTATCGCCCACTTTGCGCCAGAAAGAGGAAACCAGCGGATGTCGCGCTAAACAACAGCAGCACGTTTAAGCTTGATCAGCTGTTGTTAGAATTTATTTAATATTAATTTCTAGTATCAGCTGATGTTTGCTGGAGCCACAGCTGTAAAAAAGCTGCTGGTCATGATATCGGTTTGGATATGTGGTGAGAGGGAAACATGAAGATGAAACCAGGAGATGTCCTTACTGAATCATCAGAGCTGTGATGGAGAAACAGGTTTACCTTTTAGGTGACATGAATGAGTTGAAGGGAAGTTATGAACTGTTTCTGAGAGACAAATAACACCAGGATCCTTTGTAGCTGACAGCTGGTAACTGTGCAGGGGCGGGTCTAGCAAAGTTTTGCCAGGGGGCCAGGTAGGGCATTAACAGGGAGAGGGGGCACAAAGAAATACTTTTCTTTCTTATTCTCATTTAAAATGTCTAGCTTTTAAATAATTATCTGAATCTTACAACAAACGATTGATAGATTGATGCATATATACCATCAGAACAGTGTACATCACTGTCACAACAGTGTTTATTTTCATTTAAAGGGTTTATGATTTTTCCTATAATGGCAGGCCGGTCTCTAGTCAAAATGCCCAGGGCCAATTTTTTGTCTCAGTCCAGCCCTGTATGCAGCTCGTCTGCAGTCTGGTGTTACCTACAGCTTCCTATTCGGAAGGCAGAATTTCCAAGTTCTGAGTACAATCGAAAGCAACACGATTGCAGTTTTCCTGTTGGATGTAAAAAGCGCATGTGATGCTGTGACGTAGGGCTAGAATCATGGCGGAAGTCGACGATAGTCCAGGCCTGGGATTTCTCTCCTGGAAATATGCACATTATTTTTTCCTTTCTGTTGATAGGTGGCACACTGCACTTGTGGCAGGATAGTGCTAACATGTAAGCAAGCTAGAAGACTGGCATCCTTGCTGGGTATCCAGTTAGGGAAGCAACACATTAACAAGAGAATTCTGAGTAAAGCCAAAGTTACTTTCCCTAGTAACTAGTTATTTTGAAAGTAACGAGTAACTTGAGATAACTGAGTTACTTTTGATAGAAGTAACTAGTAAGTTACTAATTTAAAGTAACTTACCCAACACTGATTATTGCAGAGTCTTTACCTTACAATATGAATCGACTTGAGGCGACTGTTGTTATGATTTGACTATGACTATGGACAAAAATCTGCTGCCAAATGAGTGGGCAGGTCTTGAAATGAACTTTGAGGCAAGCCTGTGAAGCAACTATCAATGAAAGAGTGGGATGCTGTTCACAGGCATGACCTGGCGGTAAATACATTACAGCGTTACCGCCAGAAAGTTGATTATGTTCATCTGGATGTAGCATTTTAACTTTTGCTAAAACGCTACGTTATGTCCAGAGGAACAGAATCAGATTTCTGGGATTTCGTCACCTGGAGCGTGCATCAGGACATTACAAGCTTTCTGCCCTTTTCTGTTTCTTTCTGTGTGGTTAAAGGTAATTTAATTAAAAGAGGCCCAAAATATGAAAAATGTCATGAGGACATTTACACCTTAAATCATAAAATAAAGCAAGAGTTGACCTATATCGAATCAAATAAACAACACTTTAAAATAAGGCTATGAAGCACAGTTACTGTAGTTTTGTCAGCATTTATGATGTTACTCTCCCATTTCACCGTGACACATAGGTACTCTATTAGATTCAGATCCAGGGACTCTGGTGGCCACTACCAGCCTGAACAGTTCATGTTGTTTTCACCAAATTCTGACCGTACCGTCTGAATATTGCAACAGAAATTGAGACTCATCAGACTGAGCAACATTTTTGCAAACTTCTGTTGTCCAATTTTGGTGAGATTGTGTGAATTGTAGCTGATGTAGCCGATGTTGTTGACACCTGTTGTGGTCTTCTGCAGCTCTAAAACCCAGAAATCCCAGTAGATTAGCAGTTTTTGAACAACCTGGCTCAACAACCATGCCACATTAAAAAAAAAAAAACTTAAATCATCTTTTTCCCCCAATCAAGGTTTAATTTCAGGTCATCTTCATCATGTCTACATGCATAAATGCAATGAGTTGCTGCCATGTGCCTCTGTCAGTGCGCCCCAGGCCAGCTGTGGCTACATTGTAGCTTGTCATCACCAGTGTGTGAATGTGTGTGTGAATGGATGAATGACTGAATGTAGTGTGAAGCGCTTTGGGGTCCTTAGGGACTAAGTAAAGCGCTATACAAATACAGGCCATTTACCATTTACCATATGATCGGCCGATTAGATATTCACAAGCATTTAAGGAGGTGTACCTAATAAAGTGACCAGTGAGTGTATATACACACAAGGCTGATTAGACAAAGGTGAAACTAGAAAGAGGGCAGGAAAACTGTCATATGTGATGACAAGGTGCAGGTGGAAAAAAAGATAGGAAAGGCAAATAAAACAGGAAGTGGAAAAGAAATTAAGAGACAAAACAAAGGGAGAGACAAAAAGGAGCATCAAAATAATTACAAAAACGTATTCAGTTATTTATTCATGAACATATGAATGGCAAGAAACCTCTTTGTCTGTTGCAGTAATTTCGGTAATTGAAGGAAACACTGGCTGAGCAGGACATTTTACAGATAAACATTTCTGTATTGACTGTAATTTCAGAGAGTTTAGTTAAATGAAAGAGGCAAACATTTAAAAAAATATAAAGGCTATTTTTGTAGATTTACTGTTAAAAGTACATGTTCATTAGTTAATGTATGTTCTTTTTCCTTTAGGATGACCAATGGAGGAAAAACTACACTTGCCTCAAGTCTGCAAGAGCAAATACCCAACAGCTGCATCATTGCACAGGATTCATATTTTAAGGTAGACTGTGAGGCTGTGTTCAAGGTATACTGCTACTTTTCCAGCCTTGGTGCAAGCATCACATATGCTTCTTTCTTCAGGATGACTCTGAGGTGCCGATGGACAGCAATGGGTTCAAGCAATATGACAGTAAGGACAATTTGCTTTACACTGTATTACAACATATTAGATAAGACTTATCTAGGACAGATTATTGGAAAAACCTGTGGTGATAAAAGCTAGAAATAGGTTGTTTTTTCTCATAGACCTCTATACAATTAGACTTCTTTGTGCAGCAAGAAAAACCGCCCCCTACTGGTCAGTAGAAAGGTTGCAGGTTTTATGGCATTTGTCCTTCAGCTTCACATTTCAGACTTGATGGCTACATTCATCTTTGATATCCAGACTTATGATCACTACAGAATTTGTAGTTCATCTGTCCATCTGAAAATATGACCTGTGGTAGTTTTTTTTAATACACGAGTTCCCAAGTTTTAGCAAACTGGAGAAGTTTTTAAAGTCTGAAAATGTTAATATACACCACTATTAGGGTCAATAACTGTGAAAAATAGTGTAAGGACATTAAGAAATCCTTCACATGTTTTAAAATTGCATAAAAATGTATGTAAAATATAGAAACGTGGTTGGTTGACTACAATAACATTTCTAAGCATTTTTAAAAAGAAATACAGGGTATTGTAATGTATTGTAATGTATTGTAATGTGGGGTATCACTGATTTTCTTCTCCATTCATTGCAATCAAATTAAAATTAAATGGTAAAAATGTTTCACAGAACTCAAGGTGACACCTTAAAAATCACTTTTTGTCAATCAACAGTCTGAAAGATATAAAAAAGCCACAATGGCAGAAAATAAAGGAGAAGTATCCAAACAATGGGTGTAATATTCATTCAGTTATTAAATTTTTTTCATTTAAAATGTGAAAGAAAGTCATGCTCACTGGTCTATTTAAGTCCTCGAGGCTCTGCACATGCAGATGATGATGAGGGACGTTGACTCCTGGCGAAGAGATCCCGAGTCGTTCCTCAGACAGCAAGGCCTGGAGACCCAGCTTATAGAACCATCAGTCGATAACCAGGTGTTCGTGCTCATAGTGGAAGGCTTCCTCATTTTCAACTACAGGTACACAAATGAGGATTAAATAAAAGGACATCATGTGTGTTTCAGTTATAAATTTAGCAAATTAAAGCTTAAGATTTACAGGACTTTATATTTTGGAAAGTAACTAAATACTTTGTTTATAATACTGGAATTTGCTGTTCATGTCAGTTTTTATGAAATTCTTTTTTTTAAATTCCTTTGGGGCATTTTTTGGGCTTTCGTTTAATTTTTGGGCAAGGTTCCGGCCTTGTTTATTTTTTTTTTTTTTTTGGAAAAAACTGACAGATATAAATAGAAATAATAATTTATACTGAAGAATTTGTGAATTGTGTTTATCTGATGGAGATTTCTACTGGTTTATTATGTTTTACCCTTCCAGGCCTCTGGATGAACTGTTTGACAAAAAATATTTCATGGAAATACCTTATGATGCCTGCAAGAGGAGACGAAGGTATTTATTTAATTATCGAGTATTTATATGAAGTTTTTGACATTTTTTGTGCACTTTTATTCTGTTGTATCGCTTAATGCAAAAAAAAAGAAAGTAACTGTGTCTACCTTCTTTGCTGTCTTCAACAGTTTAAGAGTGTACACACCTCCTGATCCTCCCGGCTACTTCGACGGATACGTGTGGCCAATGTACCTGAAAAACCGAGAAGAGATCGAGAGTGACACATCAGAATTTGGTAAAAATGCATGTGTGATGATTAGAACAAATGATTATTAAACAAAACAAACAAACTGCACTATCACTGAATGATAAAATAAATGACACTGATGTGGGGGTTTTTTAATGTGGCATTTCCCCCCCAGTATTTCTGGATGGTTTGAAGCCAAAAGAAGAGCTGCTGGCAGCTGTGTGTAAAGATCTTTGTCAGGAAATACAAAGACTCAGAGGTAAGTCTGTCTGCTTGATATTGTTTTGCTATTTTGTTTGAAATATATTATCTACTTTAAAACTAGATTACTACATTTTATGTATACAATAAGAAAATCATCTGATCACAAAAATCTGTGCCAGGTATGCATGATTGTTCCTTATTCTGAAAAACAAGTTTTCCAGACTTTTTTAGTTAAATAATTTTAGTTTTAAATCATTTCTAAGATTAAGAATCATATGAAGTGCTTTCTGTATAAGCCAGCAAAAACACGAGGACCTAACTGTGCCAATTCATAATTTGAATTAGAGATGGACCGATCCGATATTACGTATCGGTATCGGTCCGATACTGACCTAAATTACTGGATCGGATATCGGAGAAAAATAAAAAATGTAATCCGATCCATTAAATATCACGAAAGCACCTCACAAAACTTGCAACACGCCGTAACTCACCTCAGAACGTTAGCACGTCGGAGCAGTATGCATCACGTGATAGAGCGGCTGTGGCATGCGGGACCTGTCGGTGGTCTGGATAGCATTTGGAGCTTCGCTAGCAACCCGGCATTTCATCTCCGACAAAGTTATCCCCGAGAGAAGTAAAGCAAGTGTGTAAGTCCATCTCTGAATGTTTGTAAAGCATTCCTGCGTTAAGCTTAACGAGCGACTGCCTCTCGCTCTCCGGCTGCTACTTCAATCATGAAACTGCTTAACGATCAGCTGATCGGCTTTTCTGTCGCGAGTCCGTGTCTCTTGTTTGCTTTTGGCCCACTTTGCACCAGAAAGAGGAAACCAGCGGCTGAACAACAGCAGCACGTTTAAGCTTGATCAGCTGTTGTTAGAATTTATTTAATATTACTTTCTACACCAGGATCTTTTTCTACGTAGCTGACGCTGGTAACTGTGCAGGGGCGGATCTAGCAAAGTTTAGCCAGGGGGGCCGATAGGGCATTAACAGGGAAAAGGGGGCACAAAGACATACTTTTCTTTCTTATTCTCATTTAAAATGTCTAGCTTTTAATTATTTAATATTTATCTGAATCTTACACCCAAAGTTTTAATCTGATGTAAAATGTATAGAAGTCCATTATTGTATATAGTAACTGTTAAGTCTAATATACCCTAGTAAGCTATAGTACTTTTTCCTTTGGGAAGGTACCATCTGTGCAGTCTGCAATTTTGTTGAAGAAAGATGTTGAATCTATTTAATATTTCTTGAAAAATAATTGATTTCTGTGCATTTTTTTTTCACACTGCATCAAATTAAGGTTGATTACGTCGATTAAGCATCATGAGGTGGAGCGTGAGGGGTGGTTCCCTATTTTTTATTTATTTATTTTTGTTGTTGCTGGGAGTTGGAACCCTATTAGTTAGGTTGCTTAATATTTATGCTAAGTACTCTTTAAAATACCAGAATAGGGAGGATGGTGTAGGTTTAAGTTTATTAGATTGATCAGTATTGCTGAACTATGAAATATTTTTTTTTGCATACAGGTATAACAGAATAGCTTTAGTGTAGTTGTTGTTTTAAACTTGAGTATGAACTTATACAAAATGCAGCAAGATATTTAAAAAACAGTTTTGTTGATTAAAAAACACTATATCGGATTCATATCGGTATCGGCAGATATCCAAATTTATGATATCGGTATCGGTATCGGACATAAAAAAGTGGTATCGTGCCATCTCTATTTGAATAATAAATATTTATTATTTGAGTTTAAGTTTGTACCATTTTGTCTATTTTCTTTTCAGAGAAAAACTGAATTGACCAGCGTATTATTTATTTGCCATTTGAAGATGAAGATCACTGCTCCCATGGATGTTAGGACCACTCTCAATTAGACTAATGTGTGACTGAAAGGACCAAATTAAGCTGTGCGAATATCCTGGAATAAACGAGCTGTAGCATCTGAAGTTATCTGCCTGGAGACTGAAGCAAATGTCTTTACCATAAATGTACAGTATTTTGAAAAGACAAACACTGTGGGACATATAAATGTGATGTTTGAGGACTTGCAGTTTACTAATCCAATAATCGTATCGGTATGTGTAAGCTTAAGTTTGGTTTTAACTCCATTTTCTTACTCGATCCCTGCATCCTGTGAGGAAATTTTTAAAGTTTGTTTTTTTCTAATATGTTCTGTAGAATAAATTAAGTGTACATCCATTAAAACAGCTTAACAGAAACACTAACTGTTATATGATGTCTGTGTATCATTTATCATAATTCGTTGTTATCTGACGACTGAACTGAATATACTGGAGACAGATTAACCTTCCTCTTGTGTAGGGGTCAGCACAGACTTGTTTTTAGGTTTTAAAAACATAAAAGGGCCTTTTAAATTTGTATTTAAATTTAGATTTTGCTCTGCTAAAGGCAGAGGACACAAAACAGAAATATGGATGAGCCGGTTTCTGAAGAGGACAATGATATGAGGTCTTATGAGGCGGTCATGGGGACTGAAGCTGCTCTTCCTGTAACACACAAATTCAAGAGCGGTACCATCTCTTGGAGTCCAGTACCTTGTGGCTTATATGGCAGGGCAACTGCTACAAATGTCATCAAAATGACCCCTGGGATTGCAAGGTTTTCTGTGACAAGAATAAGTGACACCAAAACATGTTTTGATCTGGTTATGCCAATGTCACTAAAGAGAGTTGTCATCGGTGTGACAAATCTTGAAAAAAATGTCTATGGTGACATTTGGAATGACACTGATGAGGAATACTTCGACTATCTGTTGATGGGATACATTAACAGGGAGAAATATTTTCCAGGCAACAACGTCCCTTCAGACCTTTTGAATGATATGAAGAGTCTTCAGATCTGACAACAGATACTAGAGCAAAATCTGACAAGCTTGCTTCCATCAGGGGTGACTCGTTGACATTACTACCAAGCAACACAATATCATGTTTCACAATTTCTTTGAGGAAAGTATTGCCTTACATATATACCTTACATTTAGTAACAGTAAGATAACTTGATAAGCTTTTATTTTTTAGAAACAAAAATCTCTTGATGTTCAGTTTACCTTTTGGGGGGGGGTTCAGTTTTTATTTACATTTTATAGCATCCTGATTTTGTCATGGTTTACTTCTATTTTTTTTTTATTATTATTTGTTAACCTCTGTTCTTAGCCTCAGGTGGAATAGCTTGGCTAGCACCTTCCCTCTGATCCGCCCCTGGGTGGAGCCTTCTGGCTCATGTTGTCGTTCCCCCAGCTGTTTTCTATGGCGTAATCAAGAGCTTGGCTGTTGGGTGCCACAGTTCTCAGATTGTCCTCACATGGTGACCGTCAGGCTTCCTTGGTTTTGAGTAATTTCCTGCACTTACCTTGTGTAACCTGTATTTTCTGCTCCTCCTCTAGCTGCCAGGAAACCTTTGAACTCCAAGTCAAACACTCCTGTGGACTGTGAGCACCTCCAGGCAGTTTTTCTTATTTACTACCTGCAAGTGGAATGACTTACAAGGTCTCCGCCTGCGTCCTTTTGGCCAAGTACTCCTTTTGAGCTCCCCCATGCCATCTTTTTATGTTAGACTGTTACAATCAATTACAAATACAGCAATACTCATTCCCACTTACCTGGTACTCCACTAATACTCTGCTGTCTGACAGAGCTCCCAGTAGCATGGCTGTTAACTCAGTTAAGCAACTAGTCACTTACAAGAACCTGCTTTTCCGTTTTCTAATGAAGAAATGCAAACATCTGCTTGACTCTGCTCACGGAGTCGAGTTTATACCACACTATCTTTTTTTGGAGTTGTTGTACTGGTGTTGTACTTTTGCCCATTTGTCAGAAAGCTCGGGATGCAAACCATCCTCCATGAGTGGAAAGGCTGGAGTGCTCAAATGGTGCACAGTTGTTTTGGTGACTCAAATCCTTCCTGTTGATTCAGGTTAGTCCTTTAAAATATGAAAGTAAAGCATTAAGTGACATTTTACATAAACATTATGTATGGTATTTAAATGCATGTTAAGCTTCGGTGGTTACAATAACATCTTGTTGCATAACGTGTGTTTGCCTAAACCGAATGTTGAATTTTTCCATTTACACAAGCAGCCTTCATGTCAGTGTTTCCTTATGCCCGCAAGAATTTGGGCGGGCTGTATTAGAAACCCTTGGAGCACCAATTGCTTTTTTTTTTTTTTACCCTCTTCCTAAACCATAAGCCATCTGTCTGCATAATTTAAGGTAGGAATGTGTGTTCATCAGTGGTTGAAGTTACAAAAAACATGTGTTACACAATCTGTGAATCAACTGTATCGGTTACAAAATCAGTTGTTTTTGCCACTTTAACATAAAGCATTAGAAAAGTTGCGACAGTCATGCATGGGAATTGTTATTTTGGTCTCTTATGAGGAACTTGTATTTAAACAGCACTATTGGAAAAATACGCCTGCAACACCTTTAAACTTTTTAAACTTTAACTTTGGAACAGAAACTTGTCTGACAGCAGTTTTTATCCATGCATGAACCTGCAGCTGGCTGCTATAGTGGTCACATGTCCTCTACTATAAACCTCAGCACAAACCAATGAGGCTACGTAATTTCCAATAAACTCAATGATCAAAAATGTTGCCAAAAACTCCGCACTGTCAGCAAAACCTTTGTTTACCTCAGCAGTCATGTTGCTTGACCGGCATGTGCGGTACAGGAGTTGTCACATGTAAATCTGGGCATTCCTCACTTCCCTGAACTGACTATATCCTGTTCTAACACGACTTATACAAGTCAGCTGCTTTCATTATCCACAGCTCTGACAGCTTTGTAAAAGAAGACTGCTCTGCTGAACTAAGCTGGTGACCAAAAACATGTTTAACACAGGAGTTTCGACCTATCTGTGCTTGTTTTTTGCCTGCTGCCTCTGCTGCAGCAGAGCTATGCCGACTAAACTCAACAACGAGGCTGTGAATGACAGATCTGTGATAGGTGAGTAAAATACACCATCAGGACTTTATATTTGGTATTTCACTCACAGAAAGCAGAGCGAATCACTTCTGTAGCTGTGTCCCTGTTCACTGTTCAATCAGAGCTGCTGTGATTTTTGTTCCACAGGTGTTTTAACTCAGGTTGTTACAGATGAAATTATGAAACCATTTGGGAGGACTTACATACCTTCCTCTTACGTGAAATACATCGAGTCTGGGGGCAGCAGAGTGATGCCTATAAGGTGGGTTGAGTCATTTAAGAGTAAAGATGAGCTTTTAAAGAAGTCTGTTCTGTTGGCTCCAATGAAAAGGAAAGAACTGGGTGTATTTAGAGCTCATTATGCCTATTAAACCTCACTCAAAACAACAGTGTCTTTAAATCTGCATATTAAAAACAGAGAGAGGGTTTTTTTTTTTTTTTAAGGAGACTCATTTTGAGTCATTGGAGCTTGGTGACTTTGCATCAGCGTTCAACATTAGGTGAATGTTAACTCGCCTAATGTTTACGTTGTTGCTGACATTTTGTGGAAGAAGAAGAAGTTGACCCCCCTGTGTGAGCTCACCATTGTGTAGTCTGAACAATGGAAAATAGTACAACGCTCTTTGTTTTTTGTTTCCCTGCACAGATTAACTTTGACTACATCTGAATATGAGAACATTTTCATGAAGATAAACGGGTGAGCTGCTGTATATTGATTTAAATGTGTTGGCAACTGAAATTTGTGTCTAAATAGATTACATTATTTGCCATGTGATGTCGGTTCAGGTTGATTTTCATTGGGGGAGATGCAGATTTGGAGACTTCAGACTTTGCCCGGGTGGCGAAGATTTTTTACAGGCTCGCTCTGGCGGTTAGTACAGAACATCATTCTCTGTTTATTGTTTTCTGCTTCAAAGCCTGTCTCGTTTGTGCAGAAATGAACTCCTCTTAGGGGAAGATCTTGTACCTGTCCTGAAGGTTTCCAATGCTTAATAGCAAAGAAAAATAAGAGCTTCTTCTTTAACAACATTTGAACACTTACACTTGGCATTTTGAAATTCTTCTCTACAAAATTAACGTTAACTTCAATCAATTATTAATATTGTTTAAGATCAAGACTAGTTTGTTAATATGACGTACACTTGCTCTACATGTGCAGGACATTTAAGCTACTGTTGATTGCAAAAGGGAAAAAGCATTTAGCAACATTTTGTATGTTAGCGTAAATTTTCGTTTTGGTTTCCTGCTGTTGGTGCAGAAAAATTACATTTCCAACTTCCTGTGACTTTCAGGCTAATGATGCCGGGGACTACTTCCCTATTTGGGGCACATGCATGGGAATGCAGCTACTCACTGTGCTGGTGGCTGGTGAAAATCTCCTGACAAAAACCCCAGCTGAGAACTTAGCATTGCCCCTCAACTTAACCACAGGTTCGTGCTTGTTGCTGTCTTTATGTGAATCTGTGTTATTTTTTTACTCTTTGAATTAACAGGAGGAATGTGTTGTTGTATGTATGTATGTATGCATGCAAGCAAGCTAGCTGGAACTTTTTTTTTTTCCAGTGGTTAGAAATTTTTTGCAGAAGAGTGCCTGAACAAAACAATTGGTGTCAGTAGAGGCAAGTTACAAATCTGGGGGATTTTTGGCCCCAACTTTAAATGCTCTTTCTGCATATATGTGATGTGCTCTTTGGATGAGGTTGCTGTTGTAATTCTTTGACCCTAACTTTACTCTTACCCTAAGAACCCCCTCTTGAGCCTCTGTTCCTGCCCGGATGGTGTGGAACCTTCTGCCTGATTGCAGAAGCTGCAACAGTTTATTGCTGGCGTGCAACGGGTCCTTCAGTATCTGAGCTGCTCTAGAGCAGCATCTCCTGGTATAGATGTCCTGAAGGGAGGGGAGAGCAGTCCTGCAGCAGCGTTCTGCTGTACGCTCTCTGAAGAGCTTTTTTGTCCTTGACACAGCTGTTCCCATACCAGTATGTGATGTTCTGTGTGAAGATGCTCTCCACAGCGCCTGCATAGAAAGTCCTGAGGATCCCTGGAGAGACCCTGAACTTCCTCAGTTGTCGTAGGTGGTGCAGGCGCTGCCTAGCCTTTTAGGACTGGACCTGAATGTGGGCAGATCATGTCAGATCTGAGGAGATGTGGACACTGAGGTACTTGAAGGACTATATCGTCTCCACTGGAGCGCCGTTGATGTTAATGGGCTTGTAGTCTCTGTGCTTACTCCTTCCGAAGTCCACCACCAGCTCCTTGGTCTTGCAGACGTTCAGCTCCACTTGGTTGTCCTGGCACCACGATGCCAGATTCTTCACTTCATCCATGTAGGCCGCCTCATCGTTATTGGAGATGGCACCCAACACCACTGTGTCGTCAGCAAACTTCATAATTGTATTGGAGCCAAGAGTGGCCACACAGTCGGAAGTGTAGAGGCAGTAGAGCAGTGGCGAGAGGACACAGCCCTGTGGCGCTCCTGTGTTGATGGTGATGCTGTCGGAGACGCACCTACCCACCCTTACCACCTGAGTTCTGCCAGTGAGGAAGTCCAACACCCATGCACACAGATGGCTGTTGTGTCCTAGATAGATCCCTCAGCTTTGTGAACAGTCTGCTGGGCACTATTGTGTTAAATGCTGAACTGTAATCAGCAAACAGCAGTCTCACATAGTTACCCTGTTTTTTGTCCACGTGGCTAAGGATGGTGTGCAGAACATGGGCGATGGCGTCCTCCGTGGCTCTGATGAGTCATTAGGTGAACTGGAGCGGATCTGTGGTGTTTGGGATGGAGGAGGAATCAGTGCAACTGGCCAGTAGTTATTTAGGGCTTGTTGTTCTTGGGCACAGGGATGATGATGGATCTCTTGAAGCATTAAATTGTTAAATTATTAAATTGTTCTCAAAAGCTTTGTCAGTTAGAGAACAAATAAAATAATCACACTGAGATGCATCAAAAAATATTCAAATTTATTCCCCCCAAAAGTCTATTTTTGCCTTTTTTTCCGAGTGTGAGGTTAGATATATCAGCTATGATGACTTCTGAAGACATCTGAACAGTTAAATTGCCTAGATTGTCTTATCCTAAACTGATATATCTATTCAGATGTTTTTTCTTCTTTTGTGTTAAATGTGTTCAATTTTATAAGTGGACTTAATCAAATACCCTTTTGTGTTGCGTGCAGAAGTGCAGTCCAGCCGGATGTTCAATACTTTCCCAGATGAGCTCATCAATGCTTTGACCCAGGAACCTCTGACTGGCAATTTTCACAACTATGGAATTACAATAAAGGTACAGCATGAGCCTTCTTCTGACCAGCCAATGATCACAGTTAGGAGCGTTCGTTAGGAGCGTTCGTTTCAGCAGGGGTTTAACAGATATACTTTACAGATATGTCTTTTAATCTGCGTTCAGAATGAATTTGTCTGCCATGAAAAGAGTTGTCGTCATTTGAGCGGACATTAAACAAAGCATTAGTAGAAATGAAGCCCAAAAGCGAATTCTTCTAATAAATCCAAACAGTTCTGAGTATTGCATACAAGAAGGAGAGTTAAAATAATAACAAATAGAGACACTTAAATGATAACTGCTAATATGACGAATGTTCTCACAGGACTTCCAGGAAAATGAGATGCTACAGAGTTTCTTCACCATCTTGTCAACAAACATCGCTAAGAACGGAGCTCACTTTGTGTCAACTTTCGAAGGTTACAAGGTTTATTTTTTTATTTGGGAAGCTGAAGGATTTCCATGAAACAGCACTGTACCAAGAGATATATTGTTTTGTTCTGACAGGTAAAAGATATCCTTTCTACGGAGTTCAGTGGCACCCGGAGGTGAATCGTTTTCAGTGGTACAGAAAGCTGAACTTCCCTCACTCCCGTCACGCTGTGCAGTTATCGTCGCTGCTAGCTGAATTTTTTGTCAATGAAGGTAACATGACAAGCATGCATTATCAAAAAACATACACTGCTCAACAAAATTAAAGGAACACTTTTTAATCAGAGTATAGTATCAACCCAATTACACTGGGATATTAATCTAGTCGAATAAGAAGCAGAGGGAGTTGTTAATCAGTTTTCAGTTGCATTGGTGTTACATGAAATCAACAGATGCATTCAGCTAGTTTTGCATTCAGCTAGGGTCAATGTCACTACTGGTAGCATAAGGTGATACATGGACCCTACATAGGTTTCACAGGTAGTCCAACACCTCCAGGATAACACAGCAGCGTGTACAATGACCAAAAGGAGTTGGACAGAGCTATAGAAGGTCCTAACACATCACCAGGACTGGTATCTGCTCCTTTTTGAAACGAGGAACAGGATGAGCGCTGCTGGAGTCCTACAAAATCACTTCCAGTAGGCCACTAGTATGAATGTCTCTGACCTTTGTGGTGACCGCTATTTCCTGGTGAAACCAACTTAACTAATCAGCATCACTGATGCAAACCTTATATAAAACAGCGTGCTATCTTCTCATGAACTGCTTTCAGAACTGTGGGTATATTTATCGCCCTGTTTTGATCAGTTTCACTTGCAGACGTGAAAAAACAAAACAACTTCACAGGACTCCATGCAGTGCTGTGTAAACTAGTAGCTTGCAGAACCACTTTTAGTGGCAATAGCTTAAGTAATCCTTTTGTGTGACTTTATCGGTCTGTCACGTCACTGTGGAGGAATTTGGGCCCTCTGTTCTTTACAGCAGTGCTTCAGTTCATTAAAGATTGCAGACAATTGTTTATGCACGGCTCCTTTAGGTTCCCGTGACAGGATTTCACTAAGGTTGAGGTCTGGAATTTGGGCCGTTGCAACACCTTGATTCTTTCCTTTTGATTTCTTTTTTTTAGCCATTCTGTTGCAGGTTTGCTGCTGTGCTTGGGATCGTTGTCCCAACAATTTTGGATAAATCACGTGAAGAGTACACTATGAATTTAGACACTTTTGATTAAATTGGCTAAGTAGAAAGGCTACACAGGCCCCACTGTGCGCTGTAACAGGAACGGGAAGTGATACTACTTACCGCAGAGCGAGCTAACACCCAGTGAGATGCAGTGATGGAGCATCACTAGTATTTGAAGTTCATGGTTAACTTGGTGACTGCAAGGCATGCAGGTCCTGTGGCTGGAAAAAGAGCACAAATAATTACCCCCCACCGGCAGCTGGTGTGAGGGGTTAGTGCTCATTTGCATTTTCTTGGTTTTCTCCAAACATGGCACTTAGCATAATGCCCAAACATCTCTACTTTGGTCTTGGCTTTCCAAAGAACTTTGTGCCAGAAATCTTGCAGTTTGTTCAGATGCATCTTTGCAAACCTAAACTGTGCTGCCGTGTTCTTTTTAGGAAAAATGTCGCTTTGTCTTGGCTGCCCTTCCAAACAAGCTATATTTGTATCCATCAGTATACTCTCATGCATTGTAGCATTTAACATGGTTACTAAGGCCCGAGTACGAGATGTCTTGTTTTGGCTCTTGTTTGTTTTGTTTCTTTAAATTTCTGAGTATTGCACTTGAAGTGAATTTGCTGGGATGTCCTCTTCTGGGAAAACTATGGCACACACCTAAACGCTCCAAACTTGCAAACTGTCAAAATTTCTGCTTGTATAGAAGGGGTCTATAAAATTGTTACTTGCTGTCGATTATTTTATCAAGTGAGTTTGATGAATTGCTATTAAAGAAGTAAACATATACTTAGTTTTTCACAGGATTTTCACATGACCGCCATTAAGCTATTTTATTCTAACGTAACCTAACCACATGTATGTCTGCTCTGCTTTGTTTAGCAAGGAGAAGTTTACATCACTTTGACAGTCCTGCAGAAGAGGAATCCTCACTGATTTACAGCTACTCACCTGTCTATGTCGCAAACATCACAGCATATGAGCAGGCCTACTTCTTCTGAGCTACTCCTGCAGCTGAATGGATCTCTGCACATGTAAATGTTTATATGCTCTAGTGTCTGTAGTACGCTCGTAAAGTCTGCTGGTGCAGAAAGTGCTGTTTAAACCTTTGTGCTGATCCAGAGTATATTTGTATTTCACTAAGGAAGTATTTTTGCTGGCAATTATGGCATTACCGACCCAGAACTATTACTTTAATGGCAAAAATAACACATTAATGTGGTCGTTTATCATAGTGAAGTGTGACTGTGTTTGAAGTAGACATCAGGATAGATTTTAGGAGAACTAGGTCCACGTCTTTTGCACTTGGTTGTCATTTAATAAACAATTTTTTAATGTGTGTGGCGTTTTTTGTTTTTTTTTTAAGGCCAAGTGAAAAATATCTTCCAGTTCTACTTAATAATTAAGCGATCAATTTCTTATGACCAACATGGGAATCATAAATGTGTTACCTACTTTGCTCTTTAGCATAGGAGGTAACACATTTATGATGTGTTTAATGCAAAAAACTGGCAATATAAGTTCTCCAACATCTTCAGCGCACAGAAAAACAAATTAATTAGCCTTCTGTTCCAGTACCTTTGGGGGGCACTGTGAATCTATTAAAGACGTGACATTTAGAGATGTGTGAGTGTGTGTGCTTTAATATACAGGTTATTATGCCACACTGGTGATTGGCTCATGAGCTACAGTGAACCAGACCCCTTGCTGTAAAACATACATGCATCAGTAAGCTGCAGACGTTAATGAGCTACAGGAAACACACCAGCCCGTCACATCACAGCGCGGCCTCGCCATTGGTCTCCCCGGACGTCAGTCTGCCGGAGAGGGGGCGGGAGCAGGGAAATCGAGCCTGTGCTCTAGTTTCTCTTCTCACACAGATGCTGCCGCTGGGTCAGTGTCATGCCGTCTTTTAATAATAACAGAGTCAAAACAGCGACAGCGAGGAGAAGCTGGGGAAACACTCACATCAGCATTTCTGCTTTTTGAGACGAGCCAACGTGGACAATGTGACATAACCCAGCTGCAACTTCCGATTCAAAAAGATTAAACGCCCTTTATCCACCTTTTTATTCGTCTTTCACAACCTCTTCAGGGCTGCTATTGTCTCACTCACCTTTGACACAGCTGGCGGGCAGTCACCGGCTCTACTTGTGCACTTCATTGCGGTCATCCATCTGCGAGGAGGCCTGCGGTTTGTTGGTAAACACGAATCGGATCCCGACGGCAAGGACTCCATCTGGTGCATTGATGCACCCGTTTCAGTGGTGTAACGGTGAGGAGTCATTTTTGTTGTTGTTTTTTGTTTTGTTTTGCTAGTCTGTGACAATAATGAACAATACGTCCTATTATTTTAGTAGGATTAAAACAGAGATTTTAGAACAAGACTGACTCAGGCCAGTGCTTTCTAAATTTAGACATCCCCAGCGAGTGCAACGACAATGTGCAGGATCTTAACAAAGAGACACAAAATGAGTTGTCATAAGCTGTGTGCTCGGTGTTTCATTTGTTCTTAAAAGTGTCTCTAATAATGCCACAGCGATGACATATAAACACCCTATAAACGGACTAAATGTTAAACGCACGAAATCTAGTTTCGTTAAATAGACTAATGTAAGCAGACAGCTTCATAGTAGTGGTATTAGTGATAAGTGATTTCTTGTCCACAAGCAGCTCTATACTTCGTCCTGTCCAATAAGTCAAAGTCCACGGAAAAGAAAAGTATTAACAGCAAAAGTTAGAAGTGCTGAGTGAATACTAGAAAAATAGAGAAGGACTGTTAGAGCTGCAGTAATTAGAAGATTAATCCGCAGCAGTATTAATAAAAAATCTTTTTTTGAAGCTGCAATGTGCACATCACCCAGTTCTAGCTTCTCAAACGTGAAGATTTGAATTATTAATTTGAAGCTTGGATGCATTATTTTTTGGCTGTAAGGCTTTTGCCACGACTGTCTGATATTTTATAGACGCAACAATCAAAGAAAATGACCAATAAAGAAAGTTATCATAAGCTGCAGCCCTATAGATTACAACATGTTATAAACGTTGTAATCTACCTAAATTAATACACTATCCACCAAAAGGGCGATTAGGCAATCAGAAATTTGGTCAGTTTTTGTATTGATTTGTAGGTTAAGAGTCTACCTGATCAATAAAAACCTTTATTTTGGCCTAAACTCACTCCAGAGAGTTACCCAAGACCGGTCATTGTGCTCTTTGTATAATGTTTTGCCTCTCTAGGTAATCTTGTTTGCTCTGACCCTATCTACAGTCTCTCACTTACACTCTTCACAGCTTCAGCTGATTATCTTCCAACAGGCCAAAAGTGTGAACAAAAGCAGTCACACTTAAACAAAAATAAAACCCTTCATTCCAGTGAAATTGTCTTTCAGTGTTTCTTTGTCATGGTGAGACTGGGTGAAGATGATGGATTGGGGTCTTTTTCCTCTGACTTTGCCTGTTTGAATGCACAACTACAGCAGCCTCCTCAGTGGACTGTTGGTGTTCAGACAAGAACAATTACTCCCTTTGTGCAGCAACTCGGCTGCCATTCATATTGGAAATAATACACACACACACACACAGTATCAAAGAGTAACATTCTGCTGGAAAAATGAAGCAGTAACAGGCAGCCGCAACTCTGTGTGTGTGTCAGTGTTTCTGTGATCGTGCCTATTCATTCTACTGTTTATATGTGACACATGTCGTGCTTTCATGCATGTGATGGGGAGATTTGTGCCCCAACCTACTTTCGTCTTGAAAACAGCAGCAGCCATGCAGGCAGGCCTGAGTGATTCCCCCCTATGTGAACTGCTGAATATTTGATGGGAAGCTCAGTCTTTAGCAAAGGCAGCAGCAGCAACAGCAGCAGAAAGCAGTTTTGTTTGAACACGACATATATAGGACAAAACCCCAGCAGGCATCTCATAGGAGCTGTCAGGGAAACTGCAATAGTCGAGGTATTTTACAGCTCGATCAAATCTCAGAGGGAATTTCCTGCCTTTTTGAAGAATAACTCGAGAATCTCTCGGATTCTCTTTGTCCTGAAATGAGAACTTTCATTAGCTAACCTTCAGCCGCTTTCTGCATCTACTACTCCATGGCAACGGCACGCCTCATAAGATTGTTGATATATAGGTCACTGGTCATGCAAGACTTCAACCAAATCAAAAAATCACTTAATATAGCTGCTCTCCCCGCATACAAAGGTGGAGGAGGGAAATGCGACGGGATGTGACATGGTGCGCACGCACAAAGGTTTGAATGCAAATGCCCTAGATTTGGATTGTGAGTCTGCTCAGGTGATTTGTGTCATCAGCAGGGCAGTGACATGAATACAGGAGCTGACATTTACACCATTCTCTCTCACTGTGTGTGTCTCTTTGTATGCTGATGATCTTTGTGAGGCAGATTGTTTGACATGTGTAAAGAGGATGAAGTAAATTCGATCGCCTTGCATCTTTCTGTGTCCTCGGTTATATTCAGGGAATGCAGCATCAGTCTGATCCATCCACCTAATTGCAGTGTAAAAAAAATAAAACTTAATTATGAGAGAGTAAACATCTGCAATTAAAAATAAAGGGTGTGTCTTCATTTCAAAATGTGAGAAACATAGTTATCTGACATTTTATGTAGTAGAAATTTCTCTGTGTCAGATCTAAATAGAGGTGTGACAATAGTGAGTTGAAATTGTGGAACAGAAAATATTAGTAATGCATGCTTTCAGCAGGACTGTTTGAATATTTGGATTTCTCCAGTGTGTTTTATTCTGGGCAACAATATGATGGAAAAGGGAACACACTGACTTGTAGAACAACCAAAATGTACAAAAAAAAAGGACTTAATGATTTATTCAACATGATCTGAAATGAGTGACTGAGGCCTTAAACTCAAGAGGAAAGTGTTTAGTCCAGTCAGAGCCCTGTTTTTCTTTGTGAAACCCTGGTTACCATAAGACCCGAAAGTTACACCCCTTTTTTAATCTGTTTATAATTATGAATTGTCTAGATGACCAAAGAGGAGAATTTGTGCACAAAAGCATTTGCAAGTAGTCACTTGTCATAAAACTTGTCAGAGGACTAGTGGAGCTGTCTCTCACCATCTCTACCCCTTTTCTAGTCATACAGGAAATAGAGAGTGTGAAAAAGACAAGAAAACTAAATTGTGACAAAGTGTGAAAGCCAGTGAGCAATCAGTATAATTACTTTGCATGTCTTTGTAAGGAGACATAGCACATAAAAGGCTATCACCGGCAAGAATATGGGAAAAATATTTGGTAGGTGATTGGACAAACCTGCTGTTCTATCAGCTGTTGCTAAACCAAAGTAACTTTGACCTTTTATGTCAGTTGTTTCTCGTAGAATGATGTTAGCTGTGATCGCACAGACCTCACAAAAATCAAGCTCTGTAGTGAAGGCCTACCTTTAATAACTGGTAGCGGGGGATGACAATGACAGTAGCTGTATAGCACATTTCATTACACGATGAGAGGGATACTTATTGTTGGGTATTTAGTACAATGGTTTCAAATAGAGCTTAATAGGCCTTTATTAGTTAATTGCACATGTGTTGCATGGGCACATTTGATGAAAAAAGTGTTGTATGTGAAAGATATTTTTTGAAAAGGAAGGAGCATTATTAAAAATATTGTGGATTTTATTTCACCTCTTACATTTTTAAATCTCTCAAAATCTTTGTCAAATCCTGTCAGCTGTGCTACAGTTTACAACCCTGATGCAAGTTCTCGCCAGTCAGTCACATGAATAATCATAAGGCTGGCTGGTTTTGTCCCGTTTAGACTCTTTTCAGGCATTTGTGGCTTTTTGGTTAAAAATCTGGCTCAAACCTTAGTGTATCTACCATTGATTGCTTCTGGCTGAGTGAAGTGGTGGAACTTGATTTTGCAGCCATCAACGATCCTTGATTAATAGACACGCTCTGCTTGTTCAGCACGAGTGGAACCAAGAGGCGGATAGTATTGATCCCCTGATACTGCTGTTTCCACTGTGAGGCGGGAGAGGCGTCAGATAGAAATGTCAGTCTATTACTTTGGCTGCGGGAGTAACTGGAAATATCCTCATTGATTAAAAAGTGGTGCTGGAAGAAAATAATACCCACGAAAATGAAACTGGTAAAGATCTTCATCTATTCTGTTCATCCATCTCTTCAGTAAGTTGACCCATTCGGCTTTTCTTGAATTTCTGTTAAATAAACATATTTTTATAATGGTGGATGCTTAAATTAAAAATGCTCAGCCTCTCAAAGGTTGTGCTCCTTGTGAGCCAAAATCTCAGGTTTCAGGTGCTCTAATGCTCAGTTTTTGGGTGTTTTTTATTTATTTATTTATTTAAA